AAAAAGAAGTTTTCTAACCTAAAATTACAAGTTAAAATTATCCAGTCATGATTTTTCAACAATTATAAGTATCTTTTTGTACGATTACTTTTTTTTTATTAACATTATTTTATTCCTAATAACAGTTGTAATTTTTGAAATACACTTCATAAAAACGTAATTCATAATCTTTAATTAGTATATTTTTGTACTTGTCTTTTTGTGTAAAAAAAACTTTTAAATTCATAACTTTAAAACTATTCAATATTTAAATTGTATCATAAATTAACCGGTTATTATCAATTTCAAACCGGTTATACGAACATTTTAATTTTAATATTCTTAAAACTTATTTGTATATGTTTTAAATGACAATGATATTGTAATGCTCATATTTTTCAACTACGAATTTTAACTCCAAATCACCTCTAATCTTCTTTAAATTTTGTATATTGCCTCATCTAGGTGTTCTCAACAAATCCAAACCATATCCATTGAAAATACTTGTTTTTCCTTTCTGGTTAAAGAATCTCTTTCTAGTTGCTCTCGAACAATTAAAAGATTCTCTAGAAGAAATACGAAATTTGTGAATGTGGTATAACAATGGTAAGTTTTTGCAGGCCAAAAAATGATTAAATTGCATATCAGGCTACCAAAATATGGTCATTCCTGTAGTTCTCCATTGACAAAAAAGTAACAGGTACAAATTCAGAGCATAACAAACATTTGCTCACACTGTAAAATACATATTGCTTTAGCAGTATAGCTAGTCAAATATCTCATGATTTAACAGAAAATCGAGTGCATGATTATCGTCTCACTCTACTGAAAAAAAACTTACGATAAACTTGGTATTATCCACAGTGGCAGCGAGAATGCAGAGTCGGAGACATCTTCCTGAAGAAGAGGCTGTACACTGAGATTCTGAACGCGGTAAATACCCATATCATAGCCATGTACTACACTGTAATGAACTCCAGAGAAGTCATCTGTGAAGTATATGCAGTTACTCTCACATTCTGGGTACGTAGAGGATGGGATTGAGAAGGAATGATTGTTTCCCACAAAAATAGACCAATCACCCAAAGATTTCACTTCTTCACACTTCTCGTTGCAGATATCCAACTTGTAAATTTTGAAACACCAAGTGGTTAGACAAGGAGTATCTGTGATTCTTGTATCAAACAAAAGCCTCATTATGGCATATATTTGGCCATTTACCTCGACAAGATATGTAGTAGCATACACCAAATTATCCAAATCGCGAGATGGTGGAAAAGCTATTCTCTTCAACAAAGAGCCGGCTAAGTCCCACATCAGAATTTCGCCAAAAGTGTCAATGGCATAAAACTTCCCATCGTGACACATGGCATCATCAACATGGCCATGGATGCAACTCAAAGGAGTCCAAGCAACATCACCTGGCTTTGTAAATGCCATCTTCCAATTATCAGAATAGATGGCAAAAATAACACAATCTGATGAAGACGGACTAGCAGACAAGATAACTTTGTAAACAAACGAGTCGCGAAAGCTCTTTCCTGTACATACCAGATTCAAATTGGGGCATTTATGCAGTGGCGGGAGTGAGATTTGCCCCCCTGATAATGGATTCAGCAAGTGCATCTCAAAATTGGCACCTAGAGTGACCAACCAACCATGAGAAGAACCCCAACAGCGTTTATCTAGAACATCTGGCAAACATATATCATAACTCTTACAGTTGAAAGGACTATAAAATCTGCGCAAGCTCTCATCTTTCCTCTGAGGAAGCATCAGCCAAGGAAGGAATGAGCGTGAAGAATTGCCATTTTGTATTACACAAATTCTCCATGACTTACAGACTGCACCAAACCGTACCCAGTCTTCAGCAAAATGCAGCCGACTAGCAATTAACCCCAAAAGTTCCACTGGCAGCTTACACCAATCTAATGTTAACTGGAAAAACAAAAGAAATAAAAATTACAGAAAGGACAACAAGAACTTTCTAAAACCTGATTAACGAGTGAGTATACTCTACACATCTTATTGAAATATCAGGGATATGCAGGACGATCAACTATGCGTTCTGATATTTCAGACTGGTTTAATTCCCTTATTGGAATTTCAAAACTAACTCTCCTAACTACAGGTGTGGCCACTATGGAGGATAATGTTTAAGAAAATTATCCTCGAAGATATTTTACCTTTGAAGAATATTTTAAAAATCATTTCAAGTGTTTGGAAGGATGTAGAAAGTTGGAACAACCCGTAGTCATATAAATTGTAGGATAAAGTATAAATATTGTGTTCTGACGATATTAAAGGTTGATAATAGTGAAGTGAGTGATGTGGTGTTGGAATTTGGATACTGATAAAGGAAAAATTGACTTCGACCCTAATATTTGAGAAACCGCTTTACATAACTCAAGATAACTTCTTTCCTTCATACCAAAAACACCCTTAAATTCCTTTTCCTATTCACATTCCTGAAAGTAGTAAGTGGAAACTTTACCATTACAGTACTTAACCACTGAAAGAGTTTGCAACGTTTTGCTCTGAAAATCTTGAAATTCTGAAATAAATAAATAAATAAGAGACTTAAACCCAAGATACAACATATTAGAGAGAAAAAATTGACCATTATAACTATTAACTTCTAATCCTATCACAAGTTGGAACAACCTCGAACTTCTCTTCAAAAAACATACAGAAAAATTCATGACCAATACAAAGAATTGTGTGGCTAAATGAAACAATATTTGACTTTGCACCAGAAATGTCTGTATATGTATGTGTGTATAAATAAATATATTCTCATTCTGAACCTCACTGACTCTAAATTCTGAAATAACATCAAGTCACACTCACACCCAACACCCTTATTACTATTAGAAGCTTAAGTAGAGACTGTTATCACTTGCCCTGAAACAAAGCTCACCTCATACTACTAATATTATCAGTTGTGAGAGATAAATGCTGATCAGGCTGCAAAAAGAAAGGAGTCTTTCTGCAGCAACAACACACACATTTTATCACCCAGTTGAGCGACTATAAGGATCTCAAGTACTTGGATAACAAAAGGCAAAAGGAGTCTTTTTGTGTCAACTTCAACAGATACATGATCAATAAAAGGGCGACAGTAAGGATCTCAAGAACTTAAATAACAAAAAGGAATCTTTCTGCCCCAACTTCCACAGACATTTTATCAAACAGTTGGGCGACAATAAGGCTTTCAAGTACTTGGATAACAAAAAAGAGTCTTTCTGCCACAACTTTCACACAGACATGTCATGAAACAGTTGGGCGACAGGAAAGGATCTCAAGTATTTTTTGATGCAATTTTCAGACAGACATTTTATCAAACAGTTGGGCGACAGTAAAGGATCTCAAGTACTTGGATAACAAAAAGGAGTCTTTCTGCTGCAACTGATACAATTGGGCTGACTAAGAATAGTTATAGGAGTATTATATATGCATTTTCTATTTTATAGTTGAGCCTGGGATTAGTTATCCCACCATATATATGAGATAACTTATCTCATCACTATGGCATAAATGGGGGAATAAAAATTTTTGGGACTAACTAATACCTACTATTTTATCCTGGGATTATTATCCCTTATCCCTTATACCAAACGACTCTATTCTCTTTACCACAAGCATACCACTCACCTAGGCTAAACAAACCAAGGCAATGAAAAATTCCTACACCAATATCCTAGCCACTTTCAGTAACCCAAACCCAAATTCATCATATTATACCACTGCCAAAACCACTACCACACCTGTCACACATCTACGTAAAGCCAATACAACTGTGTTGGACGAAGAAGAAGTGTAACCCCAGGTGAATTAAGTGAGAAAAGAGCTAAAGGATTATGCTATCTTAGTGATGAGAAATACTTGCCCCGGGGCATGTTCGTAAGCCTAAACTCAGTTGTTTTTGTTGGAGCTAGCTTTTGGGGGTGGTTCTCCCAAGGTTATAACAATGGTTTCACACAAACATTTTATCAAACAGTTGGGCAACAGTAAAGGATCTCAACAACATAGATAACAAAAAAGGAGTCTTTCTGCCTTAACTTTCACACAGACATTTTATCAAACAGTTGGGCAACAGTAAAGGATCTGAAGAACATAGATAACAAAAAAGGAGTCTTTGTGCCACAACTTTCACACAGACATTTTAACAAACAGTTGGGGGACAGTAAAGGATCTCAAAAACATAGAAAACAAAAAAGGAATCTTTCTGCCACAACTTTCACAGACATTTTGTCAAATAGTTGGGCAACAATAAAAAATCTCAAGAGCTTAGATGACAAAAAGGGAGTCTTTCTGCTACAACTTTCACACATACATTTAATCAAACAGATGGGCGACAGTAAAGGATCTCAACAACTTAGATAACAAAAAAGGAGTCTTTCTGTTCATACCGAGGAGAAGCAGCGATTGCTGGCGCAGAAGCCTCTGCCGAAGACTGATCAGATTTTCAAAACTCTTCAGCTTATGGATTTTGAAAGTCACTCAAAAAATAAGATAAAATTTAAAGCTAAAATGTTATTTAATCTTGTGTTATAAACATCTATTTAATATATACATTACTTTTTAAATTGAGTAAAAATGATGAAGTAGGATAAACAAATTGAAATGAAGAAGTAAATGATCTCCAAAAATATTAATCCACATAATTTTAGAAAAAATCGTTTGTTCTCCTATGTGTTGAAAGAAAAAAAAATTCAATTTGTTGAGCCATATACATTTTTCTCTTTCTTATCTCAAAATGTGATCATTAATTGATGATTTTATATAATGTAAGTTTGTTTTATCTTTTTAGTTAATTAATTTGAGCGTATTACCTCCGTGTTATCAATTAATACCTTTTGAGTTTTGACGTTAGAAAAAGTGTTATCCTAACAAATGGCAACAGTGTCAATGTCATGGGTTCAATGCAGATGTGGGATACTCTAGATAGAGTCATGATTAAACATGACCCTGTAATTGTACACGCTATTTTTCGATGATGAAAAGATATTTCATATATATGATAGAAACTACAACGGAGCACAGTGCACCATAGAGTTATGGGGGGAAGGGAAAACAAGGTGGGGAATCGAACCTTCACCAACAAGGTGAAAGTTCACGTAGCCTAACAGTAGATACGACACAACTATTATTAGTACTTGTTTTAGTGAAGACTGGGCTGGGCAGCTATATTAGAAGCTAAGTGGGCAGTTAGGAGCATTTGTTGCAAAATTTGGTTCCATTATTATCTCCTGGTCTGTGGTGATTGCTTCTCCACTCTCCAGTTGCCTGTACACTTGTCGAAGCTATTTGTCTTGTATACATCCTTCCCACTTGGTCGTCCAACAAAACATCTAGTAATTGAGAAGGAGGATTCCGAAAAGTTGTATTTTCACTGCCCAAATTTGTTGCCGAAGCCATGCATGCTAATCTATTTGCTAAGATGTTTCGCTCCCTGTAGATATGATGCAGTGGTGGATCACCCAAAAGCCGGATGAGGTACCTGCAATCATTAAGAACAGGCGAATGAAGAACATTAGGAACATGTATCAACGTAATTACCTCCTAAGCATCGATATTAATCTGCATAGATGTAAACCCATGCTTTGGGCTAGCTGTAGCCCAAAGCAAAGCATATATCTCAGTAGTGATAGCAGTTGTGTGATTTGCTATAGCAAGAAAACCCAATATCCATTCCCCTTTTGTACTTCTGAAACTCCTACAGCATGGGAAGTATAATTGTTCAGAAAACCATCCGTTTTAAGCATGTAGGAAGGGCCATTTTTGGGAGGTTCCCATTTGACATACGAAGGGATAGTTTTTTTTTCAGGGCGTAACATTTTGAAGAATTACATTCTGATTTAAAGTGAAAGTGAGTCCTTCAAAGATGTATCTATTGCGACTCTTCCATGTGAGCGACAAGGTAAAGGATAAAATGAGTAAAAGAGGGATGTTGGAAGCAGTACCTTTGAGTTTTGGCTGCTTGAGTATTAGATTCATTAAGTAGAGTAGGCAAACAGTTGGCGACTTCCAGAGAATTAAGTATCAAGTTGGTTTATGAAAGGTAGGAACACCTAATTGAGCGAACCGTGGGACAAAAAAGGAAGAGATGATTAATAGTCTCATCACAGTCAGTGTTGCAAAGTTTGCATTTTGGAGAAGGCTCAATTTGAGGAAATGCAAAAGGCTGGCTGTTGGGAGACGACCATGAAAACATTGCCAAGGGAAAGGGATTACTTTTGGTGGGAGGTGCAAATGCCACAGCCATGAAAAGAAGTTGTTCATGTGAGTTGGTTGAAGTAGGCTGCAATAACAAGAGTTAACAGTAAATCCACCTGTAGAGGTAAGTCCCCACATAATTTTGTCATACTGCCTCGAGTACTTGGGAATATATATATATATGACTTCAATAAGAGATAAGATATCTTCAGGTAATTCAAAGGAAAGAGAGGTCAAGTCGTGCAAAGAACCCTCAATAGTATACACTTCATTAACCCATATAACTCGATTCCTTGACTTAATGTTGTGCAGATATTCAACCATCAATTTGTATCCTTACGTTAACAATATAAGTATTCAAATTTAAGTGTTGAATATTTTAAGGTTAAGAATTACAATTCATCTCATAGGATTTTGCCTTGTGTTCTCCCTACAAGTTAATGCAACACCTTTAAGTTATGTTTTCCCCCCTTCTCTAATGAAAAAACAGTTCGTAAATATTAGCATGTAAGGAGCCTACCAGATACATCATAACAAATACGTTACTCCAGAATTTTTTTTGCAGATTTCTAGTCGTATACGCATAGCTAGAATATGGTAAATACAAATCATAGCAAAGAGAAAACATAAGGAGAACCAAAATTACATGCATGATGTTCTTAGCACATCTGCAGATTCAGGATTTAAATTTGATTAGTTCAACCTTTATAGTTGTTACACTGAACCCATTATATTTTTGTAATTATGGATTCAGAATTTAATATTTGTTGAAATCTTAGTGAGATTTTCACACACAACACACATCTAATTTCTGTATAGAAACTATGGTGTCCAGTTGAATCCATTAAATATAGATCGCATCTGTTTCTGCTCAGATCTACATTAGAAACTATCTTATCACCAAGCATACCTGCTTCTATAGTCATAAAACTCTTCTAATTCCTCCTCTTCATCATCACCACCGTCACCATAATGCACTTTGCAATGAACTTTTGCTTTCATATGTTTCTGCACTGCTCTAAACTACCGAAAGGATGACATCCATCGTTGTAAGACAGACATATATAATACTTTTTAACCTGAGGACATAAAGAGAGATTTTTACTTTGTTATTAACATCAGTTTTCTGATTAAATAATACACACATAAATATCTAAGTAAACTTGAAGAGTAGAGAAGAAAAAAGAAACCAATAATATTACCTTGAGACCAAGATAAGCGAGGAAGCCTTTAGGATCCTCCCAAAACTCGACATCTGGTATGAAGAACCCATGCTTCTTGTTCATGTGGACCAAAAATGTTACCGCACCCATGTCGAATTCTTCAAGAATGAATAACTTTTGTAAGATCCAATATACACCCGGTGGTATTTTTTTGAGAAACATTTAGTCTCAAAATGTGTGTGGTTCTCAGCGGACAAACTGCCCATGGGATGGACATTAATACTGTTCTTCACATTCTCTCTAGCTAATCCTTTGTCCTTCCCAGCATAGCAGAACCTCCTTCTTAATCGGCACGGTGGAGTCCACTATACTCCATGTTAAGAAATATGCAGCATATCTGCCATGATCTGTTGCGGTGCAGAAAAGAGTTGTTGATGATGATAGATGACAGTTTTTGTACCATTTTAAGCCATGAGAACTCCAAGCTGCCGCTTCAGTTGACTCTCTCCGAAAAATACTCGATGATATATAACTCACCAATCTTCTTTGCAGATGATTGAAAGTACAAGGAAAATAATCATGATATTCTCCATCAATAACTTGAAACCATGCAAGTAGTCTCAACTTGAAGAAAGTACAGGCATTGAAAATTAACGTTTTGATTTAGCATGTCCATTGATCAACCTGTTATAAGTAGCAATATCAGGTATAAACCCCAAATCCAACATCTCTTCCACCAAAGCTTCCGATTCCTTCTTTTTACCTTCCCTCTTAAAACCTGATACCAAAATATTATATGTCACAGTATCAGGATCCAAGCCCTTGTTTAAACCCAATAACCTCATCTTATTTGCTTCCTTCACTCTTCCTGCATCACACATGTCATTAAGAAGACAATTAAATGTTACACTGTCCGGAAGCATACATTCCTGCAGCATTTTCTCCATAATTTCATATGCTTCGTCAACCTTTCTTTTTCCCCTTAAACCTTCAATTAAGGTCGTACAAGCAATCAAGCTTGGAGAATTCCCATTCCTCCATAACTCATGCACCAATTCCATTGCTCTGACCACATTCCCTTCCCCACAAAGCCTCTCAACTAACCCAAAATAATCAAATGCTCTTGGCAGCACCCCTTTCCTTGAAAAGTCAACCAATAAATCGCACGCTTTCAACACCAGTCCTTTCCTGCAAAGCCCATCAACCAAAATCTCACAAGTCACTGCTGAAATCTCCCATCCCATCTCAGTCATCTCATAGGCCATCCCAATCCCCTCCTCAATCTTACCATCCAAAAGAAACCATTTAATTAAAGTATTAAAACTAACTACATTTGGAGCACATCCATGAGTTTTCATCTCCTTAAACATTTGTAAAGCCAAGCCCAATTGCGAGTTCTTACAGTACCCAGAAATCAAAGTATTGAATGTAATTACATCAGGCTTTACTCGATCTCCAATCATCCTATGGTAAAACTCCAGAGCCTTATCAAAATGCTTAAACTTCACAAATCCATGAATTATCATATTGCAAACAGCAACATCAGGCTTCCCATCAATCAATCTTCTCATTGTGTTAAAAGCTAACAAAGCATCATCAAATCTACCAGCTTTGCAATAAGCATTAATGGCAAAACGAAAAATAGGTTCAGTTTTGGGGCAAGAGAAAATACCATCAGCACACGGGCAGGGGTTAGAAGAAATAAATTGGAGGAGAGTTGTAAGAAATTGGAGGCGGTGGGTGGTGGCAAGAGTGCGGACCATCCACTCAAAGGTGGTGTGATCATGGCGGAACGAATCAACAGAAGCAGCATAGTTGAAGAGGTAGAAGTCAAGGTTAGTGAGGATAGGGTGGTAATGGACACGGTTCTTGAGAAAAGAGAGGAAATCTTTGGCTGTGAAAGAGGGTTTGAGGTGGGTTTCCATGAGTTGGTTCAGTTGGTTTTGGGCAACAGGTGTGAGGTTGTTAGTGGTACACATTGAAGAATCTATCGTTCTTACAGCAAGAGGTAGCAGTGAAGTCCGATCAGAAGCTGTTGGTTTTGGAATGGATTTGAGAAATTTCTGAATTCCCATTTTCTCTTTGTTCTACGTTCCTTGGCTGAATTTATCCTCCCCCACTTCTCACAAAGCTATATTTTCATGAAAACCCTGTAACGTAAAATCATGTCATTTTAAAATCAAACTAACAATTAGTTACTTTGATCAAGAGATTGCATTGCACACATCATAGTATGAGTAAAAAAATCATGTTTTGACAATACCACTGGATACCAAAGGTGTGTTAAATGTTTTCCAACTCTCACATGTTCAGTTGATCAAATATTTTGGAAAACATCATCTCTCGGAAAACAAGCTCCTTAACAATGACTTCCCTAACGAAAGTAGGGAAAACAAGTTTCACTAGTGACATTCCACATAGCTTGTGTCATCCCCACCCTCCAACATACTTCATCTTCACCCACCTACCCCATAGCCCTCATCCCCACCCATATAGGAAGCCTAACGTAAGAGCTGTCGTCACTTGCCGATAAATAAATCAGACATCATACTATTGATATAATGAGCTAACGAGAAATAAAAATTCTGATTTGGCTACCTAAAAAAGGAGTCTTTTTGCAGCAACTTTCACATAGACACTTTATCAAACAGTTGGGCGACAATAAGGATCTCAATATTTGGATAACAAAAAAACTTTCTTACCTCGGAGAAGAACCAATTGCTTGCAGCCGAAATCCTGCCGGAAAACAACCAAATCAATGCCTTGCTTGCAAAACTGATCGGATTTTCAAGATTCTTTAATGTGGCTTTTGATTTGCTTTTGAGTTTTGGCAGTCACTTGACAAATTCCCATGTTTTTACATCCTTTTGGTCGAACTTTGACATTTTGAGGTATATACTTTCGCGGAGCCACGACGTTCAATACGAGGATTTAAAAATTTTAAAAATAGATACACGAAATAGTCAAAGGAATTTGGCATCTACTATATATATCTAAAAAAAATTATTTTAGCAGTATATAAATGATATACTTTTCGTCAAAGAGATTTGGATGAACCCCTAATTATAACATGGCTCCGCCATGGGGTATATATGTTTTCACAAAACAAAAACAAAAATAATAAGGAGAGATTTACTACCTACAGGATAGTGATACTCTATTCTTTTCGTATCATAGAATTTCACTAGATATATGATTATTGTAATAAAGAAAAACTTACATAAATGATTACTAATTTTTATTCTCTTGCTTAATGCTCCCTTTGTCCATTAAGATTTGTCATGTTGTGTATTTTAAAAGTCAATTTGACTTATTTTAAAAGTTAAATTAAATTACATTAATTTGATATTTTAAACAAAAATTTAGATATTCAATAACTATACGAAAAATACTATAAATTGTAGTATTTTTTTGCATATCAATATGATTAAAATACACATAGTAAAATGTTAGGCAAATTTTTTATAATTTGACTCTAAAAAATAAAATTATGACAATTAAAAGTGGACGAAAATAGTATATTTTTTGAACTTATTAGGATAAAGATAGTGTGTATGTAGGCAATATTAGTCCAATCTTATGAAGGTTCATACATTGTTTTCAATAGACCTCGGATTTATCATACTATGCCAAATTTTCTTATTTATTTGAAGGGAGCAATCACATATTTTAATATTAACTTTAAAATTTTCTTTTTACTTCTAATGAAATGATTTATAATCATCAGTGACGGAGTCAGAATTTTCAATAAGGGGTTCAAACTCTATAGAAATAGACATACGAAATAGCCGAAGGGGATTCGACATCTACTATATATACATAAAAAAAATTTATTTTAATCATGTATAAATAATATAATTTCCCGCCGAAGGGGGTTCAGATGAACCCCCTTCGTACAAGGTGGCTCCGCCCCTGATAACCACACAAACATTTATGACTTATTTTAATTCATATCTTTTTTAAACTTCATATCAAGTCAAACTGTATCATATAAATAAAAACGGAGATTAAATTTTGACTAAGTAATATTTTTATGCTATGTGATATATTACGGAGTAAATAGTATCAAAACCCCATGTTTACAAAAATTATTAAAACTTCACATACGTAGTTTAATAGAGTGTGATAAGGAGGTTTTTAATTAGGGACTTTTTACACCTTGTTTTGGATGGTTGTTATCCATCGTATTGTTAACATAAATACAATGTTTATTTTGATTATTACTTAAACTCTATTGTATTGTATTGTATCGTATAATTTAAATTCATCGTTTTGTAATGAAAAAAAACCCTTCTAAACAGCACACCAGCAAAATTTCCTTTGCATCTCCATTTTATGTGGCAAACTCTCATTGGCTACACCCATACCCATACCCAACCGGTCCCACTTCCGATTTCGCAAAATCCACGTGTCTGGCTCAGAACAGCCATCTAAACAAAAACAAGTTCTCCATCGTTCCTCTTCGAAATGCCAAAATCACCATGGCCACTTACGTCGTCGCCGGCACCGGCACCACCGCCACCGCTCTTATCGGAAATAACCGCCGGAGATCCTCTTCTAGCGCTCAATCGATTTCTCATCTAGCTCTTAACTTCCCTCAAAACCGCTCTTACCGTCGCCGGACGTCGAAAACATTTTCTCCAATCTATGCTTCTGTGTCTGCATCTCCAGCGCCAGTTACTAAACCGGATGACCTCGTTGGTGCCATTCTTTCTAAGGTACAGCTACTGGACTTTTATTTGCTGATGATTGTTTTAGGAGAAAAAGGGGAAATTGATGAAATTATTAGTAAATTAGAGTTCCTTTTAGGTAGAACAGTAAGCTTAGTTGCTTTTTGCAGTCTATAACTAGTGAATAACCTTAATTTGGCGATTCAAACAGCTTGTATGTTTAATTTACTCACTGAGTTCAAACTATCATCAACATGATAAACTAATAGTAACTGTTTCTGTACATTGCGTGTGACCTACCAGTCAATAAAGTGCGTTGAGAACTATAAGGTCTTTGGTGGTCTCAGGTTCAAAACTCATCAGAGTCGAAATTTAGTTTCTTCCTATTTGTCCAAACCTTGGTTGAACAGAGTTACCCATACCTATGCTAGTGGAGGTAGCGAGTATGGTGGAATTTGTCGAGGTGTGCGCAAATTGGCCTAGACACCACATTTATATATAAAAAAAAAGTTCTTTTTTTACCTCTTCATAGGAGCTCTCGCCTTTTTGCTCCCCGACTCGAACCCACAAACTTATGGTTGGAGGCGGAGGGTGCTTACCAACTCCCTTTTATCTGGTTCTTTGTGTTATGTAACCAAAAACCTGAAGTTCAACATCTTAACTACTATTGCTTATTGTCTGTTCCGAACTGTTGCTTAATGAAGCATCTCCGAAATTTTCGTTTAGTAACTTTCTATTTACCTTTCCTCTTGTGGTCGTTAACCACTTACACAAAGCCTCTTCAAATTAAAGTAGCAAAGTAAGCCAAAATTCAGCACAACCCTGGCCTATCATTGCAATTTGTTGCACACTTAGGTGAAAAACAGATACCTCTGTACTTCAGAAAGAACCCAAAAGGAAATAAGAAGCACAATAAAATCTCTCTGTGTGCGTTCTCTAGGCTCATCCACTGTAACACCAGTGGTGGAGTTTTGGGACTAAAATAGTTTGAGAAAAAATAGGCCAGTGCTTCCTTGTAGATTTTAAATGCTTACCAAAAGATAAGGGAAAATCTTGATTAAGAGTCTAACTGAATTGTGCTGCTGCGTAAAGTAGTGAAACTAACATCTCGAGGTTAAAGAAGCACAGTAGATCTTACCTACCCGACCACATGGCAACTGCCTTATATTGTAGCAGTTAGACAATTTGGTTGTATTTTAGTTGCATGTGTTACTTACATTATAGTTGCATTCTGAGTACTTTTGTTTAGAAAGTTTTAATAACATCAGCTGAGCATATCACTTAACCAGGTTATGCAAACAGATCGAGGGGTTTTGCTGACAAGGGATGAGCACAAAAGTGTAGCCGAAGTGGTTCAAGAATTGCAACGTTTTTGCGTGGATGAACCTGTGAAATGCCCTCTTATATTCGGAGGTAAACATGTTAAGAGAAAGAGTTCTATTAAATTTTCTATGTTAATATCTCCCAGTTTGACACAATAATTATCAGAAACTATTTTCTATGTCAACGTAGTATATCTGGCCTAGTTACGTATCTTATTTTCTCCTACATTGTACCTATTTCTAGTAAGGCATTGAGTGCACCATTCTTCTGAAGAATTTCATACCAATTCTTTCTTTTCTTGTTTTGAACAATGTGTGCATGCAAATTAGCATACTCCCCCCAGACATTTTAGATTTTCCACTTTTAAGTCTGCAGAATATGATCTCTGGAGAGATACTGTAAGAATGTATGAATTTGTATACCATAGAATAAAATGCACCAAAATAGGGAATAACCTCTGTAGTTATACATGAGCTGGCTTGAAAACATAAACAAGCTAGAACCTGTTAAGGAAGTTGGGTGATCACGTTGATTATTTGCACTTAGCATGCATCAAATGTTTTGGATGATAGGTAAAATAACTTCTTTAGAAAATTAACACCCGTTGTGTGACTATCATGTAGTTATTAGTAATATGAGGTCCGTGTGTGTGTGTGTGTGTATGTGTGTGTGCGTTTGATTAAACTGTAAGATGTGCTGCTAACGAAAGATGTTAGTTATTTCTCTGGTTATCTGAAGAGCAATAGTTACTGAAGTTTAATTCTAGCAGTTTATTTAGTGCATAAAGGCAATAGTTATGTTAACCATGTCTCATAGCAAATCAAAAGCTCCTAAACTGCAACTAATAATGAATTCCTTGCAGAATGGGATGTAGTGTACTGTTCAAATCCCACTTCACCTGGGGGTGGCTATCGGAGTGCGTTTGGTCGCCTTTTCTTCAAAACAAACGAAATGATTCAGGTTGTTGAAGCCCCTGACATTGTAAGGAACAGAGTTTCCTTTTCGCTTTTTGGTTTCCTTGATGGTGAGGTTTCCTTAAAAGGTACGATAGCAGAGGCAAACATGTCCTATTTCCACATTTATCTCTTCTTACACATTCTTTTATCCTTTTATAGAGGAGTAGAATTGTCTTTGTGTGTTTATATGGTAAGCGTGATTTGCTGCATCAAATGTCAAACATAACAAGGGGAACACTTCCTTAGCATGTCACTGCTTGCAATTAGCATACTCTACAAGAACAATATACAGACATCTGACTGTAATTCGGTTTTGTCTATACACATTTACAGTTTCTGGTTTCTAAGTTGCCCGTATTTAGTTCACAATCTGTTAAATCCTAAACCCTTATAAGGATGTTTTTATATGAAAGCTTTGAGATTAGTGAAGTACACAACAACTAAGCCTTAATGCCTACTAGTTTGGTATCTCCTATGTGAACTTTTGCTTCTGTTATGTCCTATTCTTAGCTAAATTCGCTTACACTTCGTCTCATGAACGAAGGTGTCATACACCTTCTGTGCTAGGCAGCCAAGCACTGATGAATAAACACTTCGTCTCATGAACTCATACATTATTTCTTAGATTTAGTATCATTGTCCTGATGTATGAGCGAGCATTTAATATGTACTTGCATGCCCAAGACAAAACTTGATACCTCAATTCAAGATCTAGACTAGTTCATGAAGTGGTGCCCAGTTCTTTTACCATTCTAGTCTGGGATTATTCTAACCACCAGCTTTATGATGCAGGAAAGTTGAATGTTTTAGATGAAAAATGGATCCAAGTTGTGTTCGAACCGCCTGAACTCAAGGTAGGAGGGTTAGATTTTCAGTATGGTGGTGAGAGTGAAGTTAAACTAG